ACCAAAGGAACCAGAGGCTAGAAAAACTCGCACTTTGGGGGACAAAACAACAGACCCTACACCCTCGTCACACGCACCACACTCACGACTCTGAGAACGACACACGATACACTGATGACGAAGGATAGGTTAGGTTGCTTTAGTCGTGACGGCCAGCAAGGCAATGATATAGATGTACTTTTTGTATTTTGTGATCATGTGAATTTCTATGGTGAAAGTCGAATTAGTGATTATCGCTCGCGAATTGTTCATAATGAATATTTTGTTTTTCAAGAATATGCTGGTGCATGAAAAACCTCTGAGCGGACTTATTGTACCTTGAAAATGAGTGTCATGTTTACATTCGAAACGCGTCGGTAAAAATATACCTAATGACATCTACCTATGAGCCTTGGATCTATTTTGCCTTCTCTTTCTAATGATCTTAAAAAAAAACAGTAAATAAGCTTATAAAGACACACAAGAAACTTGTTAAATGTGAAAACGCTATTTCATTTAACGGTCTTTGTTTGAAAGAAGACTTACTGCCTAATTTTACGAATATATATATATATATATATATATATATATATATATATATATATATATATATATATATATATATATATATATTTACACTGTTTGTTGAACGTTATCGCAGCTTTGGCCTCAGTTGACCTCAGGTCACGTGACCTCGAGGTCATCATGTATATCATTCGATGTGCCTTGACGAGCTGAACACAATGAGACCATCCGCGCGACTGTATCTTGTTCCTGTACGGAGTTATTGGCAAAAAAACTTTGGTGACTTTTGATGACGTCACATGACCTTACAGCTGCCCAACAGCAAAACAGACCTCAAGGTAGCTTGGTCCCGTAGCTCAGTTGGTAGAGCGTTGGACTCCGCGTGGTGAGAGCACGCGTTCCCGGTTACAACAGTCCGGGTTCGAAGCGCGACGGGCGCTTGACATTTATGGGCCTCCTGACAGGTATGGTTGCGGTTGGTGGCAGGCCGTAGCCAGGTGAAGTCAGTGAGGGGACCGGCCGTGCGCGGCTATGTGCGCACGTTAAACTTTGGACTCTAAATTCTGCCATAGAACTGGAATTGCGCGATCGGAGGGTAGAGGGCAGGGTCACCGCAACAAGCTTTGCTTAGCGGTGGCTCTGTCCTTGTGAATCCTTCCCATCAAAAGGTTCGGACTAAATTTATAAAAAAAAGTTAGTGAAGGTTGATCGTATATGAAGTCATGCATGGTTTATGGGGCCATTCCGACCCGTTTTAGTGGTAAAAACGGGGAGTTGATTTTTTTCCCATTGACTTATGATGGGGAGGTCGAGAAATTGACCTGACCTTAGGTCATCGATATTAAAATTCCGAGATATACAAATTGTAGCTACTAATGACCTTATAACATCCTGGGACTTTCAAATTCCAAGGCCTCCGACATCTACTGTAGCTCTGGCACGGTGACAAAGTTGCAAAAAAGTGACTTGAGGTTGAGTCATTCAAAGTGACCTGGTGACCTGACCTTAAAGGCCGCCGTCCACTGTGCGGAACGCGTGCGGTCCGTACGGAATTTAACACAGAATCCTATGGGCGCATCCGGTCCGTACGGAAATCGTGTGCGCTCCGTCCGGACCGCATCCGAACGGCAATCAGCTGTTGATTTTCCGTCAGCTCTCCGCATGCGTTTCGGATGCGGTTGCTACGGAGACGGAAGAGTGATGTCCGACGCGTTGAACTTTTCTGCGGAAAACGCATCCGGAACGTCCGGAACAGACGTGGTTTGGGGCCGTATCGGAGTCAAACATTGTGAATTGTACGAAGAATTGGAACTCGATCATCATGAAGTAAGTAAAAATTATTTCCTTAGAATGGCAAGAGTATTCGCTGCTGGTTACTTGCAATATTTTATTTGGTAATAAGTGATAGGAAACATTTATTAGCTCTCCGCATCCGGACCGCATCCGGACCGCATCCGGACCGGATGCGGCCAGCGTGCGGCGACATTCCGGACGGACTCCGGACGGAATTCCGTCGCAGTGGACGGCGGCCTTAAAAGTTAGGAGGTTCAAACTTGCACACCATGTGTAAAATTGATGAGAGAATGCTAGTAGAACCACCAACCACTAGTACCAAGCTACGCGCCGCCGTTTTCCCGCTATCTACGAAAAACCTCAGGGGGCGGATATCCGCCTGCCCCCGTCGGTGCGCGGGTTAATGAATGGTATACCTACCTACTCAAATATTTTCGTGACCCCAGTGACATTTTTATTGAGTTTTTGAAATTTGAATGAACTTCACTCGGTAACTTTCTCTCCGGCTCGACCGGCGGACATATGGTATGGAAATATGGTATATGGCTCCAAATATGGTATATGAACCAATAATGGTATGTCATCACAATGACATACCATTACCATACGGAGGGCAATGGTATGTATGCCGCCACCGGAAAGGGGCGGCATACATACCATTTTGAGGGCGGTGGTATGTATGTCGGCATACATACCACCGACACTGTAAGGGGCGGCACCATCACTTTGAGGGGCGTCTCGGATGGTTTGAGAAGCGGCACCATTATGTATAAGAAGGGACGCTACAGAAAATTAGAGGGCGGCAACATTGTATTGATGAGTTCCTCCAAAAGTTTGAAGGGCGCCACTGACACTGTAAGGGCGGCACCAGCACTTTTAGGAGCGGCAACATCATTTTGAAGGCCGCCACCGACTCGTTGACAGGAGACACCATCACATTTAGGGGCGTCACTGGCACTTTTTTGAGGGAGGCACCATCACATTGAGGGGCGCCACGGATACTGAAAGGGGCGGCATCATCTTCTTGAGGGGCGGCATCATCTGCTTGAGGGGCAGCTCCATCACAATGACGGGCTATGTGAAACCTAGAAGGGCGGCACCATTATATTGGTGGGTTCCTCTGACACCTCGAAGAGCGTCACTGACACTATAAGGGGCGGCACTGACACTTTAAGGGGCGGCAGCATCATTTTGAGGGGCGCCACCGACTCGTTGGCGGGCAGCACCATCACATTCAGGGGCGGCATCATCTTCTTGAGGAGCGGCATCATCTGCTTGAGGGGCGGCTCCATCACAATGAGGGGCTATGTGGATACCTAGAGGGGCGGTACCATTATATTGATGGGTTCCTCCGACACTTCGAAGTGCATGGCTGACACTATAAGGGGCGGCGCCAACACTTTAAGGGGCGGCAGCATCATTTTGAGGGGCACCACCATAGTTGGCGGGCAGCAACATCACATTCAGGGGCGCCACCGGCACTTTGAGGGCGGCACCATCACATTGAGGGGCGCCACCGATACTGAAAGGGGCGGCATCATCTTCTTGAGGGGCGGTATCATCACATTGAGGGGCTCCACAGATGCTTAGAAGGGCGGCACCATTACATTGAGTGGGGCTACTAACAGATTTAGGGGCGGCACTGTCACATTGAGTTGCGGGATCATCACTTTCTATAGACGGCTGCTTCACTTTAATAGGCGGCATTATCATTTCGGAGGGCAGCAGCCTCACTATGAATGACGGCACCTAGCCTGCATGTGCGTGCTGCATCCTAGAGGGGGCGGCAACTGGGTCGGCAAACGGCTGTCACTGGGTCGGCATTCCCCGTGACTGGGTCGGCAATAGCCGACCCAGTTAACATGTTAAAATACGCCCTGTTTTTTTACATCTGAAGTGGGGAAGCTCCATGCCTGAACATGGCGCGACATTTGGCTTCCAACAGATTTGGTTTCCAAAACAAACCCGTTCATGGCCATTTGGTTCACGGCATCCAGTTTTTGTAATGCTAGAATATTACCGCAGTAGTACTCTACGCTAACGGTTGTCTTTGGGCCATCATATCAAGCCGAATGAGTGCACCGTGACTCAAAATGTCTCATAATTTGATTTTCGACGGGTGCCTGGCCGTCTCCGCTGTTGGTGCGTTGTAGCCATCTGACGTTCACACACGCCTTTTTCGGGCGGTTCAAATGACAGAATGCCTTCGTTAGACCACAATGTGCTTCAATATACTTTTGTGTTGTACCTATATGTTATGTTTTTGGGATGAATTGTAGCGATTTGCGCTGCTTTTCCCGTATTTTTCGCATACTCGTATTTTTCAGGCGGAGGACCCCAAATTCCAAAATTTTGTCAAGGATAGTGGTGCAAAGTAGGCTGATGTTTTGTAGATAATCTTGATCTATCGTTTAGCTAGTTTTTAGCTAGCTCGGTGACGTTTGTTGTCCATGACAAGCAACCACTCGCTTGACAACTGGTGTATGACCCTTTTTGGCCGAGCTCAAGCTTGTCAATTAGGTTTATCTCTTGCTCTCTCTGGCTTCGTTAGCTGATATAATTGCGCTGTGTTCAATCCTAATTCCTAACTGCTTGCAGATGAGCTGCTGAAGCTCTCCAGCAAAAACCATGCCGAAAGTCCCTTTACAAAGTTGAGAACGGGAGTGGATTTACCATGGTTGCCTATTAGTGGCTTAAGCTGAAAACGGAAAGGGCTACTCTTACTTGACTGGATAATAATTGACTCGAGTCGTGACCGTTCACCAAAAGCACACAGTCCCTAAGCTCGATAGCTAAGGGATATCTGATAAAAGTATGATGCTTGTATATCATTAGAATCGAGCGCACTCGTTCTTTTAGCCAGAAAATAAATGTTCGGGTAATTCTGGGACACCCTGTACCTGACCTGAGCCCGGCGCGATATGGGACAGGCATACGGGGGTTCGGCTCAGCGGAGGCAATGCCCACTGGTGGTGGGGACTTTTGTAATAGACCTACTGTACCCTACTCCTACATTACCCCTACTCTTCCCCTGCCCCTGCCCTTACCCCTACAACTACCCCACCCTACCCTATAAATACCCGGTATTTAGTGGTACTGACTGAAGTGTCCAAAGCTCAGAGTATGCTACTTTTACTTGCTACATTAACTACTTTTACATCGCACGTTGGTTGGTAACGAGGTGTGTCTGGCGCCTCCGGCAGAGCTGCGGCGGATGACGGCTGAACCGGCTTCCGGAGGTGAAAAAATTCATCTACGAAGACATTCCCATGTTCCATAACGTTATCTTCAAGGCAGTGCCCGGCGCGGCGCCCGAGGCCGTTCTGCTGAACAAACTCGACCAGGTACGATGCGTCCCGAGACCCGCACACTGGACACGTGCGTCCCGAGACCCGCACACTGGACACGTGCGTCCCGAGACCCGCACACTGGACACGCTCTTTTACCAAGAATGAATGGAAAGCTCTTAGCCTTACACAGTCACGGGTGTATGTACATGTGTAAGCTTTTCATGCTTCGCGGTTCACGTTCCTGATCCTGACCGAATGTGACCCCAAGTTATTCAAGGGCGTCTTAGTCATCTTTGCTCTCATTCATGTTCGTCCGTTCATTTTATATTGTACGTTGCTGCAATAACAAAAACACATCCCATCACTCTGTCTTAAGCTCGACCTTCAGCTCTCCCCCCCCCCCGACTCCCTACTCTGAGTCGTTGCCAAGCAACCGTTGGCATGACAACCAATCTGGGCACTCCGATTGGCTAAGGTTTCCCGCCATACCGGGATCACGGATTGTGAAGGATGCTCAGTTGCAATTGCATGCAACTGGCCTCGGGGCACCTCTCCCGAGGTGGATCCACAATCCACCTACATCCCCCCATCGTCAAATCAAGACCTGGGCTCGCGCTTGAAGAGACGAGCATGCCTCGCAAGGGCCACATACGCACACAAGCACGATTAATTTAACATGTAACACACTGCTCGTTAGTGCACAGCTCGCGAACGAAAGCGATCCATTGTGCAGAGCATATTGCACATCTCTGGCGTACGAGCGGCGGACGCGATACATTATTAACATACGCGACAGAAAATACACAAGTGGCAATACACAAGCAGTTCATAGCACATGATCACACCCCTCGAACGCCCTTTTGATTGGCTCGCTACCGATATGGGATCCCTCTTAATCGGCATTGGCTGCGCATGACTCCAACCAGTCGGGGTGCTTACGAGTTAACAGGAATCATGATTTATTGCCGTTGTGACTCCGTGCCAGCTTAGTGGCGCTCGCACAAGAAAACTATGTACATAATACACATATGTGTCAAACGACTCGGCTACAATCTCACATTGGGTTGAAGCGGTCTGGAGGATGTCGGTGGCGCGTCGATCTCCGGGGTGTCGGCACGGGCAACGGCGACCTTTTAACCTGTTGGGCTTCAATTATCTGCGAACCAACTGACGTACTCGGGTCCCACTCAGATCCTGAGCACCGGTCATCAGTCTCTGCCGCCGTCTGATCCTCGGACTCGACCTCGTTCCCCGAGTCACTTACCGTGGCCCGACTCGTCCCAGGTGCACCCGCAGTGCTGCCGGTACACGGTCCGCCAGCGGGGTCGCTGGGCTCTGGATGGGTAGCGCTCAACATCTGCTTGTCAGTGCTTACCGAAACGCTCCTATCCCTTACCACAGCTCTCTCGCTCGCTGTCTGGGGTGGTCTGGGGTGTGCGACGCCGGGTCCTAGCTGTTGGACTTAGCCGGTTGTGGTGCACTATGATTGTCCTTCGTGAGCCCTCTAGCTGCACCCGATAATTCATGTCGCTCACTTTGGCCTTAATGATAGCGGGTTTGTATGGCCGGATAAACTTATAGTACTGCCCTCGCGGTACTACTCCTCGGTGGAGCTGTCCGGACGGTGGAGCTGTCCAGGGGAAATCAGCTGTCCAAGCTGATTTCCCCTGGCAGCCTGACACTTCTCCCGAACATCAATTCATGTGGGGAAAATCTAGTGAACGGTGGACCTGTGACCGATATCCCAGCATCAGAAGGGGCAAATGCTCATCCCACTTGTCATGGTCACTCGTCTCCAGATACTTTGACAACATTGCCAAAATGGTTCTGTTGACCCGTTCCACTACTCCGTTGCCCATTGGGTGACAACTGCTGATCGTTGACCGTTCTATTCCCAACATATCGCATGTTTTAGTTAAAACGTCGCCCACGAAAGAACCTCCTTTGTCAGAGTGAATTCGCGAGGGTAACCCGAATCTGCTAATGAAATCATTCACCAGCATCCTAGCTACACTGAGTGCCGTGAGATCGCGCAGAGGGTACACCTCACACCACCGAGAGAAGTAGTCAACAACGACTAAAAGATGTTTATTGCCGTTTGTAGTGCACGGCAGCCCCGAAAGAATATCCATTCCCACCACCTCCATTGGTCGGGATGCGGACAACTGGCCTAACGAAGCTCTCGGTGCAGGAACTGGAGGGTTTCTCGTCTCGCACCGCTCGCATTGATCGCAGAATTCCTGCGCATCCCGCCGAACGGATGGCCACCACATCCGAGCTCTGATTTGTGCGATCAATTTATCAGCTGCAAAATGGCCACCTGACGGGCCACCGTGCGTCGAGCTGAGCACCTCCCGTACCAGTGTCTGTGGTACCACCACCTGCAACTGATCCTCATCTGAGGGACGCCTGCGATAAACCCGGTACAAAACGCCGCCCAGTAGCCGCAATTTGGCCCAGTGGGAGAGGTAGGGCACGCTGTGCTTTAACGCTTTCTTATGCGGCTTCTGTCCCCGCGAGAGGTGGTCGGTAATCTCCGCTATCGCCGCGTCGCTTTGCTGTTCATTCTTAATGAAACTCAAAGACCAGTCAAGGCAGTGAATCATGCGGCGACACTGATCCTCTTCGGTCTGTGTCGCGACGTCAGCCGTCGGCTCGGGTCGGCGGCTGAGGGCGTCTGCTGCAGTATTCTCCTTCCCCGGTTTGTAAGCGATGTTAAATGAATACTGACTGAGAGTCTCTAACCAGCGCGCCAGCATCCCTGAAGGGTTTTTGAATTGCATCAGCCACTGTAGGGACGCATGATCACTCCGTAGCGAAAAACGTTTTCCAACCAAATATGGATGGAACAATCGCACAAAGACAACAACACTTAACATTTCCTTTTTAGTGACACCGTAATTTTTCTCGCTTTTTGACATTCGTCTGCTACCATAGGCTATGAGTCGCTCCTTTCCATCCTGTCGTTGCAGTAACACGGCTCCTACCGCGTCATCTGAAGCGTCACACTCTAAAATGAACTCCCCTACATCCTTGTCGAAACGGGGCAAGGCGAGAACTGGTGCGCTGCACAGCGCGTCTTTTAGCCGGTCAAACGCTGCCTGAGCATCATTACTCCAAATGAATCGTACGTCTTTGTTTGTCGGACGGAAAAGAGGGGCTGCTAGGGAAGCGAACCCTGATATATATTTCCGGAAATAGGCAGCGAGGCCCAGAAAACTTGCCAGCTGCTTAGCAGTTTTAGGCACGGGCCACTGTCGAACTTTCTCGACTTTGACGGGATCGGCCCTCAGACCGTCCTCTGACATCACATGACCTAGGAAGGTCACACTGGGCTGGAACCAGAGACACTTTTTTCAAATTCAGTGTCAGACCTGCATCGTTCAGTCGACCCAGAACGGTATCTAGATTGGTCAATAGCTCATCGAATGAACGACCATGTAGCATGACGTCATCAAAATAGCTCAGAACAACTTTGGGTGAGAGATCAGCCAAAACAATGTCCAACAATCGGGCGCACGTGGCTGGCGACCCGGACAGACCCATGGGCATACGCCGGTGGCGGTACGACCCGAATGGCGTCACAATAGTAGTCTTGTCACGATCTTTGGGATCGAGACACCTGATAGAACGCCGAATTAAAGTCGAGGACTATGAAAAGAGAGCTCCCCGCTAAAGCCTCTAACGTGTCGTCTATCTTGGGGATATGGTACGCTGGAACAGTAGTCTCAGCATTCAACCGTCGGAAATCAGCACAGATGCGTAACTTCCCGTTCCGACGCCTCACTAGACAGATAGGAGACGCCCATGTCCCTTCCGATTCCTCTAGGACTTCCTGGGTTACCAGTTCATCGAGAGCACCTTTAACTTCCTCCCTGAGATGTGGAGGAATGCGACGTGGAGCCTGACGAATGGGAGCGCAGGAGCCGGTGTCGATAGAGCGGGTTACCAGTTCAGAATGTCCCAAATGACCGCCAAACATCGACTCGTACCGCCCCAATACGTCCCAAAGTCGCTCTTTTTGCTCCCGAGATATATTACTGCCCTCTAGAGTTACTTCCCCCTTGAAATCGGGCGGTTTGTCCTGTGGTCCTGTGGCTAGCTGACACCGCTGTTCCACATCGGACTCCTCGACAAACCCAACTTCCAACTGAGCCAACTCAGAGCGTCTCGGAACTGAAATCGGCTCAGAACTGATATTTCGGACGGCAACTGGAACCGAATCGCTTGAAACATTCACTAAAGCACTAACAATTTCTAAATTCTCGATTTCCAGGATTGGCTCTACCATTGCGGGTCCCCTGTAATCACAGTTGGGCAAAAATCCACGTAAAATGAGCTCAGCACCCGGCGGTACTGAAATGTCTTTTGCGTTCACGACTTTCCCTACTGAGACTGCTTCAACCGAAATCGATCTCACCGACTCAGCGGGCGCCAAGATAAGACAGCGCCGTTTCATGTCAATGACACACGGACACACGCGCAAAAATTCTAGACCCAGCAGAACGGGAACATCAATCTTGTCAGAAACATAGCACGGTACCGTGTACTGCAAGTTTGCTATTTCAAAGCACAAAACTACACGTCCTAGCAGTGGAAGAGCTTCTTGCGATGCTGTGTGGGCTACGGTCGCCGTGGGCTGAATGCGTGGTGCGCGGGGCAACATATCTAAGGCAGCTTTAGATATAACATTTAAATTCGACCCCGTATCAAGCAAACACGAACCTGCGACACGAGCCGTAAAGGTCATAGACGGACTTAGGGGAACATGTTTGCTGGCTGTGGCTCCGGAATCTCCCGGAACCTCTGCTAGTTTCCCTGACCGCGCTCCCGGCACATCGACTGCCGATGTCCCTTTTTGCCGCACAGTGAGCAGCTATCGTTCCGATTGGGACATGTCCGTTTTACATGGCCTGACTCACCGCAAGTCCAACAGACTCTGGGGCTGTCTGTCCGACGATCAGATGGCGGGCGAGGATCTGACCTGGCTCGAGCTGACCTTTGACCCGGAGCCGATGTCACCGGCCGGCCGACATCCCGAGAGATGACGCAGC